ATATTGCTAATAATATAAGTTAAAAACATTTAATGTAGATTTTCAATATTTACACATACATCATAATCTCTGGGGATTTTTCAATATTTAACACATACATCATAATCTCTGGGGATTTTTCAATATTTAACACATTCATCATAATCTCTGGTAATTTTTCAATATTTAACACATACATCATAATCTCTGGGGATTTTTCTTCAATCTTAATAATCTTATTATTTATAATATATTTAATAATATATTATTTATAATATAATAATATATAATATAATTCTTTTTATTAAAGCAGAATAAGCATTAATAAAATTAATTTTTTTTTTAAAGTAAATTGTTAAAATTATAATTGTATGTTTGTGGAAGATGTCGAGCATTTTTAAACAGATCTTAAAATAGTATAATAAAAAGCCTCAAAAAATTTAAAACAACTTATAAAGAAACTTAAAATAAAATAAAGACATTATTAAGTTATTAACAAATTAACATTATTTTTTAGGAGAGTAAAGCATGAGTTTATTGTAACATTAGATGGTATTGATGTCAGCAGGCACTTGTCAGGTAATACTGAATTTTCTCCTAAGCATCATTCTAGGCAGCATCAAAAAGAATCCAGGGACAGAAAAGAAAGTTCCAGTTTTACACAGAGCGATGAGGAGTTTGAGGAAATTATGAAGAAAAAAGACAAAGAAAGTGAACAGCTTGAGCGTAATAAAAGAAAACATCGCGAATCTAGACATTCATATAACCGAAGAAGAAAATTATCTGATAGCGTAGAGCTAGAATTAGAACTAGCAGAACAGAAACTTAAAGCACAAAAGCTTTTGCGTAAGTCTTTAAAACAAGTACAGAACTTGGATACTAAAATGCTTATAGAAAAAACCAAACACAAAACATTTATTAATCCTCATTTCCAACCTAAAATTCCAATCATAGATAATGTTTCTAGTCCATTAAACAATTTTTGTTTGTTACCTACATTGCACCTTGTTGTACCTCCTTCACCCACAGTTGAAACAAATACCTTAAATGAAGTTAAAGAGACAATAGATACTAATATCCCTAATATGAAATATTCTTGTGATTACAATGAACCCATTACACCGAATGCAGCTGCATTAGTAGTTAATTCTACTGAAAGTAAGTTTTATTGTTATGCTAATATTTGGTGGAGCAATATTTTACAATATTCAGTATTAGTATATATAGACACATGCACACACATGTGTATATATTATTGTAAAAATATCAGAAAATGCAGTTCTTCTCAACAATTTTTTATTTTAATTTAGAAATTTTGTTGGATAATAGATACTAGCATCATCAGTTAAATTTTACTATAGATTTTTAATTGTTACAGTATAAATATAAATGTGACTATTGACAGTGGTGGTTGAATGGCTGCATTTTTGTTAGTTTAATTTTCTATTTTTAATGTTCTAGTTTTTTCCAATAAATATCTTTATTGTAAAATTTTTTATGCTGAGCAAATGCTTTTTATTTATGCTATATACCTAATAAAGAAACCAATAAATCTTACATTTATTGGTTTGAAAAGACTACATTAAATTAAAAAAATTCAACCATGGGAAAATGTTCATTAAATCAAATAATTATTAGTATAAATTGACAATGATGGTGATTTTAATGATTATCATTATTTAAATTAAGATAAAATAATTTTACTTTAAATAACAATAATCATTTTATATAATTTAAATTTGAATTTAAGATTCAATTAATTTAAGGCGATTTAAACATTTTAGTAGAATAAGCAAAAAAATAAATAATTAATCAAAAAATAACAAAGGAAAGCTTTTAAAGAAATTTAAAAAAATGTGTTACTGTATATTTGTTATGTTATTGTATATTTGTTATGTTACTGTATATTTCTTATGTTACTGTATATTTGTTATGCCAATTAAGCAGTTAAAATAAGATCACTTTTTAGGTCTTAATAAAAAACAATATTTTATAAATAGGAATACAATATTTTATAAATAGGAATAATAAATATTATAAATATAATATGAAAATATTGTATTTATAAAATTTTGATATTGAACTAGTGTGATAGTGAAATGTGGTAGTTAAATAAAAAGTGGTATATTTTGCTCAAAATGCTAATGTTGCAAGTTTTTTTCTCACAAAAAATAAGAAGTAATAACATATTAAATGTTTTATACGCAATTAATATTAAATTTTATACAATTAAAGCTAAAAACTAGTCAAAAAGCACTCAACTTTTTAAATGCAATAATATTTAGATATAACAAAATGACAAAAATATACAAGAGTACAAAGTAGATTGAAAAAAGACAATCACTAAAGTTGAAATAAAACTGCACTCAAATCACAATTTAAAAATTTTGAATGTTATGGATTTATCCACAGGGTTTACTCAATCTGTAAAGTTCTAAATAAGTTTTTTAGTCAATGTGTTCATGGAAAATGTATAAATAAATAATGGAAAAGCAAATGAAAAGCATGTTATTTTGAACAAAAAAAAAAAAAAAACTGAATAAGAATAAAATCCCATCTAACTAGAGAAGTATCATAAAAAGCATGTATCAGCAAGTTTTTAAACCTCAAGTTTAAGATCTCTAATGAAATCAAAAATAAAAAAATTGAAATTACCAAATACCAAGCCTGGAACCTACATAAAAAAAAAGGTAAAATATTTGCTCTGCTAGAATTAAAAAGATTAATCTTAATGATGGTCAACATGTCAAAATTAAGCTTTATTTTCCATTTTTAAATTTGAATAAAAAATGAAGCCATTAAAAAGGTTTGATTTTGAAGCCATTAAATTTGAATAAAAAATGTCAATAGTAGAAATTATATTTGAACTTTAACAGTCAAAAGTATTTTTAATGTTTAACAATGATTATTGGTATCGATAATCAATATTTTTTTAAATAAAATGAATAATAAAATAAATTTGTTTAAAAAAAAACTGTTATCTGATATTTGTGTGTGTGTGTGTGTGTGTATATATATATATATATATATATATATATATATATATATATATATATATATATATATATATATATATATATATATATATATATATATATATATATATATATATATATATATATATATATACATATATATATACAGTCATGTACAGTAAAATAGTAGTGCGTATTTTATTTTTCTATCAACAAACTTTGAACATCAAAATATATTTTTCTATTGTTTCTTTTTTATCGCTATTGTTCATAAACTAAATGTTGTGATTATAATAGTATAAAAAAAATTTAAGAAAGATAATTGCAGCACTGTATGGTTTTAAATTTCAATATTATCGATTGAAGGTCATTCGTATTTTTTTTTTAGACTGTGCAATAAAATAGTAGTGAAAATCATTTTTTATGAAAAGGTCAAAAAATAATTAAGTTTTATTACAAAAAAAAATTTTTTTTTAAAGCTCTACATTAATATTTTGTGGCATGACCTTTATTTGTAATAACTGCCAAGCATCTTTGTTGCATAGAAATAACAAGATTCTGACATCATTTGACAGATATATTTTGCCATGCTGACCGTACTACGTCCCACAATTGATTACAACCTGTCGGATTATTTTTAGAAACTGGTTGTTTAACATCAATCCACAAGTTTTCAATCGGGTTGAGGTCGGGGGATTGTGCTGGCCACTCCATCACATCGATTTTGTTCTCATTAAACCACGATTTGGCTAACTTGCTTGTATGTTTGGGATCATTATCCTGCTGGAACAAAAATTTAAACGGCACTTTTCTAGGTGTTCTTGCATTTAAATCGGCATGTATTAATCATCTTCGAATAGTTGAGGTATTAACATTTAATTCTAGCCTTTCTTTAATTTTTCTAGAAGTAATAAATGGCTCCTTTTTCGCTAACAATACAACTCCCCGATCTTCAATAGCAGTAGTTGATCTTTTATTTCCCAATTTTCTGGTTTGGGTTTCTTTTTTAAAGCATTACAAATCATTGTTGGTGAGCATCCAACCATTTCTTGTATTTGTTTGTAGGTTTTACCATGATTTTTAAGATTTATAATTAAATTACGAACTTCTTCAGTACAATGCTTAGAGCGCCCCATGTTTCTCTAAAATTTCAAAATTTTCGTAAGTGTATAAATTTATCTAATATCAAAACTAATTACTTCCTTATTGCTTATTATTAAGAACTAATAATAATTAGAATTTAATAAGTACAGCAATTACTACACAAAAATTAATTTTTCACTATTATTTTATTGCACAGTCTAAAAAAAAAATACGAATGACCTTCAATTGATAATATTGAAATTTAAAACCATACAGTGCTGCAATTATCTTTCTTAAATTTTTTTTATACTATTATAATCACAACATTTAGTTTATGAACAATAGCGATAAAAAAACAAACAATAGAAAAATATATTTTGATGTTCAAAGTTTGTTGATAGAAAAATAAAATACGCACTACTATTTTACTGCACACGACTGTGTATATATATAAATATATAAATATATATATATATATATATATATATATATATATATATATATATATATATATATATATATATATATATATATTTATATATATATATATATATATATATATATATATATATATATATATATATATATATATATATATATATATATATATATATATAACCCTCTGATTTAGGGTTGGCATTCAGCATGCCGACCCTAATTTCTGCTTTTGCCAACCTCGTTTCTATGTTTTATGGTAAAATTATCAATTTTTTGCTGACCTCAAACACCTAGGGCTGTATATATGTATGTGTGTGTATATATATATATATATATATATATATATATATATATATATATATATATATATATATATATATATATATATATATATATATATATATATATATATATGTTATGTAGAGGTTTTCAAATTAGTGAAATAAAAAGTAATATTTTTTAACGAGCAATTCTAAAATACCTGAAGTAATTTTATTTTGTTTTTTAGTAAAATAATAATATAATTTTCTCTATATTATTTTTTTCACAATATTCCAATCTAAACTTTTAAGATAATTTCTAAAAAAATAGTTTAAAAACAACAAATTTATGATTTCTTTTCCTTGAATAGCAACAAATGTTAAAGTTACTGTAGAAGAATCTTCTTTTCCTGAACAAAAAAATCGTACAATACAGGAACGCTGTGTGTACTGGCCTTCTTGTAAAAATAGTTTTTGCAAATATGTACATCCTAGTATACCTTGCAAGTAAGTACATTGTTTAACTTGCAAGTTAATAATACTTAATTTTTGATACTAATGATTTTTAACTTTAATTAGAATTTTTTTTTTTTTTTCCATAACAATTGACACTGATTTATTTTCGCTTATTTGATCAGATCATGATTTTCATTCCTTATTGTAAATATTTTTCAAAATAAATTTTATCTAAATTATTTGAAGATTTTTAAACATCTTCTGCTTTTTAAACATTCTACATTTTACTATTACTTATGTTTGACAGATTTGTTGTTTTGATTTCACAAGCTTTTTTTTTTAATTTAAATTGTTCTGTTTAGGACAGGGTGGGGCAATGTGAGTCTTTAGGGGAAATGTGAGTCTAATTGATATTAATCATTTTTTCTGAAGAATGACTTTTATTTAAGAAATTTTATCATAAACAAACTCTACAATTTAGAAAATGGTTTATTTAAATGAATGTTTGCTTGGTATTAAGGTCTAATTTGAATTTAAAACTATGTAGTGGACTGTAAGTGAAACTCCATTATCGTAGCTACAATTCATTCACCAATGTTTCAGAAAGCCTGATAAAGAGTGACTAGCAAATGGACCTCACCACAGAAAAACCAAACACCCTAACTCCTTTGTTCTTTGAGCAACACCAATATTTTTTTGATTGCTTTTTATATTGCTTGGTAATTTCTTAGAGACCAAAAAATTTATAGTTTGTTTAGATTTTACAACATAGTCAAGTGATGTGTCTATGTATTGTGCAGTTATGAATTTTACAACAATAACTAATTTAATAATTCTTTTAAAATTTGTAGTTTGTTAACATTTGTAGTTTGTTAACATGTTAGTTTTACAACATAGTCAAAAATTTTTAGTTTGTTTAGATTTTAAAACATAGTCAAGTGATGTGTCTATGTATTGTGCAGTTATGAATTTTACAATAATAACTAATTTAATAATTCTTTTAAAAGAGTAAATATATAAGCCTTGGATTCATTTAGATGGTTACATACAGTTATGTTTTTGACTCTAGATTGATTTAGATGGTCATTGAAGATGTAATGTTTTATTTTTTATTGAAACTAATAGATAATGTAGTGTAGCATATTTCAAGCATTGAGCAATCTTTTCTTTCATACAAATGAATTGCGCATTATGTTTTTTTTATACAAATGAATTGCACATTATTTTCTTTTATACAAATGAATTGTGCATTATTTTCCTTTATACAAATGAATAGATGGCTTTAAATAAAATCATCTTTAATATATAAAAAAAACTTTTAGTCTTTTAATTGATTTCAATTTAGTTTTCAATTGAGCTTCAAATTTTCTCCTTAAAAAAACTTCATAAGTAAACACCTGTAAAATTCAATAATAATAAAATGATAATAATAATTGTAATACAAGTGGGAGTAAATAAAAATAATAGTAGTAATAACAGCATTTAAAAGTAATAGTAAAGATTATAAAAAGTATATACTATAATAATAATAATAATAGTAATTATAATAATAATAATAATAGTAATAATAACAGCAATAATAATAACAATAATAACAACAACAATAATGATATAACAAAAACAGTAATATAAAAATAATAAATACAACAGTAAGAATAATATAATAATAATATTAAGAACAGTAAGAATAATAATATTTGTTATGATAAAAATATAGTAATAATAACAATAACATCAATAGTAATAAGTGAATACAAATGGAAATATTTCATTAGTATTCATTTAGTATTCATTTTCGAGTTTAAGAATGATTAAAATAATACAGGGGTGGGACCGCAAAATGTGAACGTTTTTATTTTATTATAACTATTTTCTCGTTAGATGTAGTTGTACTCTCTCACTCATCAGAAAGTGTCTAAAGAGTTGTTAAATATGAACTATTTTAAATAAGAATGTCCAACTATTGGACATTCTTATTTAAAATAGTTCATATTTAACAGAAAATTAATTATTACAATCAGAAAAGTGTTCACATTTTGCGGTCCCACCCCTGTAAATTTAACAAAAAGATATTAAAACTAGTCATATAAAACAACAGAAATAAGAAAAAACATTACAAAAAAATTCAGACTCAGAGAAACTCAGAGAATTTGAAGATGAATAGAAACTCAGAGTTAGAGTTATAAATAATAAATTGAAGAAAGGTATAAGATTTATAAGCAATATTTTTTCTAAAAAATAGTTAAAGAGAGCAGTTTTAAATTTTGAGAATGATTTAAGAGATTTTAATTGGAAGATTGTTCCATTTTTGTATCCTTTTTTGTTGTATGAGTTCATAGCTGTAATAAACAGTTTGATATTTTGGTACAGATAACTTAAAGTTGCAAGCAGATCTTGGAATATAGTTACAATTTTCCCTATAATTTAAAAAGTTGATAAATGTAAGAGCTAGATTATGGGGATTTTGGTTCCAAACAAATAGGCAATTTGATAGCTAAAGATGGTCACACAATTTAAGGACTTTAGATAAGAAATATGCTACAGTTTGAGTTGAAAATAAATTAACTTTAGAGCTTTATTTTGAAAATGAGTTAGTCTTGCAAGTTGCTTAAATTGTTCCCTAACAAACTAATCTGAGATAAGAATGAAAATTAGCATGATATGTATTAAGCAATGTTTCATGATTAATATAATGACAGATTTTAGCTAACATATCATTTTCTCTGCTTAATTTCAATGCTAAGTCTTGAAGATGTGATGCAAAAGATAATTTAGAATTTATTTTGATTCCAAGATATTTAATAGAGTTAACTGGATTTATTTTGGATCCAGTCTATATAGATTTATAGACTGGATTTATTTTCTGTCTACTTAATCTGAAATTTAATTGCTTATTTATTTTTGTTTGAACAGATTTAAATATAATAATTTCTGTTTTTGTTTTTAGAATTAAGGGATAATTTATTGGAACAGAGTCAGTGAGCAATATTAGATAGATCTTTATTTATATTTTTGTTATGTTTTTTAAGTGGTTCGTTAATTAAGAGCAAGCTGGTGTCATCTGCATAGTGATACACTGTAGAAAATTTAAGTGAAACATTTAAATCATTGATAAAAAAAAAAAAGAGAGAAAGTAATGGTCCTAAAACTGAGCCTTGTGGAACACCGTTAAAAGATTTAGCTAGTTCTGAGTTAAAAAGATTTAGTTAGTTCTGAGTTGACCATACTTCACTATATGATGTAATGTCAGTCTATTAACCATGACTAAAGTCATGCTTTGTAAACAACTTAAAAAATTGTTAATTTTTTTTTTTTTACTTTTGTTATGAAATTCAATAAAAGGCTCAGGTTACCCCTCCCTACCCTAATAATCTTACCCTAGTTATCTTAATTACTTGGAGAAAATTAAAAGTTTTTTAAATTATTGTAAAATTTTATTGTCTTTGGTTCATTTAGAGCATTTCCAAAATGTTCATTTGGTGATAGATGTTTGTACATCCATCCAATATGTAAATTTGGTGAGAGGTAATTCTTTATGATTCTTATATTAACATTTTAATAACATTTATAATAAATAAAAAAATGGGAATCTTTGAAACTGAAAATTATTTTTGTATGCTTTTTTTATGACACTAGTATTTTAAAAATATTTTCTCATTTTAATTGTGGCTTTATATAAGTTATGATTAAAACAACATATAAAATTCATGAAAAGTATATAGTTTTAATTGAATTAAACATAACATTTTTCAAATTTTTTTAACAATTTTTTTTTCAAACTTTAATTTTTTAATTATTTATATTTTAGATGCAATGTTGCAGATTGTCAATATATACACTCAAAGTCTTTACCTTTAATGCCAGGTGAGATATCAGATTTTAAAAAAAATTAAATTCCAAAACATTTAAATATACAGTTTATCAATGAAAGCTAAAATAGAAATACAATATACAGTCAGAGAAGTAAGTATCCGAACAAAACATTTTATTGTGAAAAAATAAAATTTTCTCAGGTTATTTCAGAAAAACATGTTTTTGATAAATATTTTTATAATTACTTTAAAAGCAAATTAAATCACGATTTTATATATAGCAAAAAATTAATCAATGGTAATTAATTTCGTTGTTAAAATTTAACGATTCTCAAAGGAGTGTTAAAACTTCAACGAAAGATGATTATCCAAACATGTTATTTTGTAAACAAAGTTTTGAAATTGGTTATTAAAAAAAGTTTTTAAATCAATAGTTTTAGAAATATTGTTGTTTTACAACAAGTAATTTTTAATAATTGACTGATTTTTTTAAAATTCATTTGATTTACCATTGATATCATCGAATATGGGAGTTAAAATCAAGGAATGGTCCCAAACTCAGCGCAATTTGGTTATTGACTTGTTCAAGCAAAGTTGTTCAAACATTTAGGTCGATAAATAAAGCGACTGGAATGAACCATCAGCAATCTGATTAAATAGAATATGTTTGAATATGTACAAAATCAGTCAAGATCCAGAGCTAAGCGTAAAACACCATTAAGAATAGATTGACAAATTGTCAAGATTAGCTAAAGAATATGTAAATATGCTGGTATCATTCTGGATGAAAGTTTTGTGGACGGGCGAGTCAAAATTTAATCTTGTGAAGTCTGATGGAACTCAAAAAGTATGGAGAAAAAAAGGTGAAGCACACAACACTCAGTTGTAGAAGCACACAACACTCATTCTCAATAAAAATCTTCTTGCTTCAACTAAAAAACTGCGATTAAGGAAACATTTTTCCTTCTGACAAGACAATGACCCTAAACATATGTCAAAGAAAGCAAAAGAGTTTTTTATCCAAAAGCTGAGTTACATCAATGGCCAGCGCAAAGTCCAAATCTCAATCCAATTGAACATCTCTGGGGTATTTTAGATAAAATATGTGGCACATGATGTCTATAAAGAAAAGAAGAGCTAAAGATCGTGTTCAAAGAAGCTTGAGCTGATATTGACTCAGATATGACAAAAAAATTAGTTGAATCGATGCCATGTTGACTTGCAAAAGTCATAAAAGCTAAAGGTGGTCCAACTCAATGTTGAAAAATATTATTATATTTATTTCATGACATTGTTGACTAACAATAGCATTAAAAATAAAATTATAAAAGTTGGCATCATGTTCATATAAAAACAATAGTTGTAATTTATTATCGTTAATTGTTGTGTTAATGTATCATTAGTCATAAACAAAGTTATTTTGAATAAAAAAGACACCAGCAAAAATGAATGCTATGCAAGCCCTGACATCAATATGTTACAAGCTAAGCTTGACTAAACAAAAAAAGATAGTTGATAAAAGAATGTGATAACAGTTGATAACATTGTATTGTCCAAGTCAATGCAATAAATGTGTTGACGGGGAAGTGAATAAAATCCAGCAATTCTTGCCTTAGCCTTGTCTGTTAAACAGAAGCATTTTAAAGAGTTATGCGTGCAACTGCGTCACAATTATTTAATTGGTTGTTAAAGTGGTAAATGTAAAGTTATTTTCTAAGAATTATTTTTGCAGTTTGTATTTTGAAATACAAAAATATTTGTCAGTAATCTGAATACAGAGTATCCTAATACAGTTTAATTTTTAGTGACCTCTTTTATTATCATGTTTTAAATCATTATCTAATGCATAAATTATGTTTAATAAATTATGCAGTTTTTTTTTTTGTACATGTTCTTAAAAAACAAATTTGTAAACAAAAATTTATTCCTAAAGTGTACTTTTTTGTGCAAAAAATTTGAAGTGTAAGGTCGATTAAAAACAGACCAGAAGATCTTGTGTTATATTATAATAAGATGAGATTAATTAACGGTTATATATACTATAAAAGGTTGTCCACCAATTATGTCATGCGATGGGGGGAGTTAGTAATTTTGTGATGATTTGTTACAGGGGGAGAAAGGGTATTTAGCTTTGTTATGCAACATTCAAATGTATAAAATATCTTTTCTATTGATTAAGAGTGTCTAGCCTAAAACACTCAACTGCAGCTATTACAGTTTAACATAAATTAGAATCGACCTTTTAATTGACTTAAATTAATAACTGACACATCATCGATGCAAAAATAATTAATAATAATATAATTATTAAATAAAAATAATAGTATAATAATTATCAAACAACAATAATAGTTAATACGCAATAACATAAGATATTATAATGTTAATATAACCTGCACCGCAACACTAACTTATTGCTAAAGAAGTTATTTAAATTTTGTTAAAGTTTAAATATCTTCGGAGATTATTTGTCTGTTTAGTCACTATTAACATATTTGTTGCATGATTTTAGGGGGATGGTCAGTAAACCGAGATGATTAATTCCTAGGGGGGGAGGGAGCGTCTAAAATTGTCAAAAATTGTGTAACGCAATTTATGGACAACCCAAAGTGTCATTTATTCATTTTTAGAAAAAAAGTTGATGTGTGCTGCTTTTACACTATAAAATGTTTCTTTTGATTTAAAGTGAATTAAATTAAATGTTAAAAACTAATTAATATTGAAATGATCATTAATATTGATGTAATTATTAATTGAACAGCGAAGATTATTTTTGATAATTTATTTATAATATACAAGTTTATTTAAAAGCCACTAAGTATTTAGAATAATATCTAGTGGCTTTTAAATAAACTTGTAGAAAAATTTTAAGTTAAAAAAAAAAGTTAAAAATGTTTTTAATTTGCTATATAAGATTTTATTAAGACTTTTATATGAGATATATAGATTATAGGAGAAAAAAAACTATTTTAGTTGTCTGTTTTAGGATCACAACAAATTTGTAACTTTGGTTTAAATTGCTCCAAGTTGGACTGTTCATTTAAACACCCTATTCCAATGGTATGCATAGTTAAAATTTATATATGTGTTATATATTATATATATATTATACATTATGTTTGTGTTTGTTTTTTGAATAGTATGTTAAAGAAACTGGTAAAGAAATTCTCTTAATATGACAATTATACTCACTTTACTTTTAAATGAGTTTTAACTGTCATCTAAATGTTAAAATATCTTATGTGTTTAATACAAGAAGGGATTGGTGGTAATATTAGGGTCATTATAAAAGGGTAGGTGGAAATTTTTTTCTAGAACAGGAATAAAACTATTTAATTATAGTGTGGCTAGCAGTAAAATGCACATTTTTAAAATGTTGTTTTGTCATAATTTCAATAGGATTTAATGTGCTTATATAAGTTTAATACTTTGGTTAGAAATAAATTAAAACCTAATTTTTGACAAATAAAAATTTATGAGGTTTTTAAAGGTCAGCAATTTTTAAAGCCTGATTACACTTAAAGTTTTTATTTTTATGAGTGACTGATATATATTTTCTAATTTTTTTTCCTAAGTTTTTAGATGTTGTCTTTGAATAGAAAAAGAGGGTTGATGAGGTCTTAATAATTTGGGGAGGGGGATTTTTAGAAATTTAATAAACATCCTCTCTAATGTATTAAGTACCTTAATTGCCAGTAATTGCCTAAGTACATTATATTTTATTGGTTTTTTAAATGACTATTTTTTCTTGATAAAGTAATTTTTTTGTATTCATAAAATTTTCATTTTTTGTATTTTTTTTTTTTTTTTTTTTTTTTTTTTTTTTTTTTTTTTTTTTTTTTTTTTTTACATACATTTGTGTACTAGTGTACATAAATTTACTATTATAGCCGAAGGCGCAGTGGTGTGTACATATATTGACTGATATAGCCTTAGGTGCAGTTAGGTGTACATATATCAATTGATATGTAGGGTTTTGATTTTAGGCAAACAATCTTTTAGTTAAATGAATAAAAAAATCATACTTCCGTTTTGCTTTTTAGTGGTAGATTTGAAGCAACTTATTATGGAAAAACTTTTCACACACATAGAATTGAAACATAAAAAAACATATATGTGTGTGTCGTTTTGAATATTATTTAATTAAAAACAATTTTTATTTAAAGGTGCACTTTATTAATACTTTTTAGTTTACTTTTAATTAACCTGAGGATTGGTTTGTTCAACCCTCTAATTTACATATTGTTGGTAAAACACAGTTAAAGTTTAGGAGGATATTACTGCTCTCATATTTTATTTATATTAGTTTGGGTGTTTTAATGTATTATATTTTGTTATCTTATATTAGTTTGGGTGTTTTAATGTATTATCTTTAAAATGATAATAAAATGATAACTAAAGTCTTTTTATCTAAAATGGAAAGATTTTTGTTTATATCTTATTTAGACATTAAACAAAATGGCACTGAGTACAAAATTTTTAGTAGTTTTATAGGAAACATTTTTATATTAAACGTTTTTATTACTAAATAAAACTGAAAACAGGATTAAGCAACAAAATTTTTAGTCTTTTTTTTTTTGTCAATTGCATTCAGTAAATTTTTGGTAAATACCCAATTCTAAAAAATTTCGATTTTTATATTTTTGTACATACCCATTTCTAATATATATATAATATATATATTATAATAACATTTGTACATACCCATTTCTAACAAGTTTAAAGTCCTTATTTAAAGATGTTTAAAAATTGTACTTTTATTGTACACAATTTGTTTTATTTTTGTGTAAAGAATTTTAGAAAAAAGAAAAGTTGCTGATAGTCTAGAAAGTCTGTTGGAACCATCTGCAGTGTTTTTGAAATTACTTGTCTTTGTTTGTCAGTTGTTGTATATATATATATATGTTTTTTATATATGTTTTTTAACGCTTTTAATCAGATTAATTGAACATTTCTAAATTTTTTCATATATATAATTTTTTTTATACTATAATGATGTAACACACTACAATAATGTAACACACTTTAGTGCTCTGTATTGCACCAATCTCTTGTAAGTTACAATGTCCTGGCTTAGAAAATTTCTGTTCTACAATTTCAATATTGCTGCTGTCTTCTGACTTTAAAAAATTAAGTAATGCTAAACTCATTATTGAATTTTTGTTTTGTGGAACACAACTGTCTGTATAAAGAATAATTTTATTAATATAAGAAATGACTTTTACTACATTTTTTAATATTTTCACAACTTTAACTAAATAAATAATTATACACACATTCAATTAAGGTATTGGTTTGTTCTATATCTGGATATTAAACAAAATTTCATAAATAACTTCTCTTTTTTTTTTGGATTTTGAACAAAAAATATCTGAAAATTTTGATAAGCAATGGGGATTCTATATATTTTATAGCAGATATTGAACAAGCATATTTTAATATAAAGGAACAACAATAACTCATTTTCAGTAAAAAGTACAAGAGCAATTCTCAGGTGAAGAAATTTTATTAAAAGAAAATTTAGAAAATTTTATTAAAGTTATATAAAACATGTAAAAACAAAATTGCTCATACTGGGTTTTGAAAATAAACTTTTTGAGATATGATCAGAAAGGTGATAAAAAGTAAAAAGAAAACAAAAAGAAACATTTAAATATTAAAGAGACAAAAAAAGTATGGAATCTCACTCCCTTTCCTGGGGCTTTGGTAGCATTAACAAGACAAATAGTTTATTTATTTTAAACATTGTTTTATTTATTTTTTTAAACATCTACTTGTTATGTAACATAATTGTTTGTCATATAGTTATTATTAACACTATTATATTCAACCGAAAAAATAAATTTTAAAAACAACTCTCTTTAAATAAAGCCACATGTTTAGCAATATTTTTTGTAGAGCAAAACAGAAAATACTGCAAAGTGCAAAATGTGTTAAACAGTTTTGAAAGCATTTGGAATAAAAAGCCTATCACTATCAAATAAAGTGCAAGAACCTAAATTAAAAAGGCTAAATTTTGTCACAAGACTAAAAAAATCAAACAACACCAAAGAGTTCTTGGATTGGTGCTCTCTTTAAGAAAAGCTTAAAACCTCTCGGTGAGGTGATAAGAAAAGCTTAAAACCTCTCGGTGAGGTGATAAGCAAAGCTTAAAACCTCTCGGTGAGGTGATAAGAAAAGCTTAAAACCTCTCGGTGAGGTGATAAGAAAAGCTTAAAACCTCTCGGTGAGGTGATAAGCAAAGCTTAAAACCTCTCGGTGAGGTGATAAGAAAAGCTTAAAACCTCTCGGTGAGGTGATAAGCAAATTGTAATTGATTACCTAAGTTTCAATCGAATTGCAGACAGTATTTTGTTTAAAAGAACTTCTAAAACAGATGATTACACTTTGCCAAAAAGTCCAAAAAGTTTTCACAAGAGTCCTCGAAATGTCAGGGATCAATTTATGACAGAGTATAAAACTATTATGGTTTGGGCTTGTGTTAAAGCTAGGTCTAAAATTGACTATATTTGCTATTTGTCTATGGAAGCATGAAAACTGAAAATTTGTTAGGTTAACATTGTCTAAATTTAAGTTGGGTAGTGCGGATGTAATGATGAAATGTGGAATAGAGATTAGTTCCATTTACAATGCCTGCCTTGCATAAGCAACCCATCTTTTTGTTTGTGTTATACTTTGTAAATGTAAAGATGAACTATGATATATTTAATTATTTAACTCTCTTTGTAAATAAAAAGATGAACTATGATATATTTAATGATCTAACTGAAGAAGTCGATTATGATGAAACGAGTCGAATTTAATTTCTGATATTGGTGCAATTGTTGCGTAGACTCGTAAACATTTTAAAGTCTTCACAGTGTCCCCAGTCAATAATAATGACAATTTTCAACTGCAAAGTTTTTTTTTTTACTACTTTTTTAATACATTATTTAAAATTTTCTACTTGGTAGAGTAATAACATAAGTTTGGACTGAAACAAAAATGTGTAAAATTATATCTTTGGCTTAAACTTTTAAAAAGACTGTCCACAGAAAATGTGTGAAAAGCTACTAGTTAATTTTATAGATGAGGTAGCACTTGCATTATACATTTTTTCATCATAAAAATTTAAAAAATAAAATCTTTTTCAGAAGAATTTGCATCATTTATTCAAGAGAACATTCATACAAAGTATGAATATTCTTCAAACTCTTAAATTTAATCTCATCTGGATTTAAAATTTTGAAGAAAGAGATGATATATTTAAAGTTAATCAAAGCTAGTTAAACCAATATCAGTGGAACCAGAAAGAACTTTTTCTGCCATGGGATTATGTAATGGATGACGGTATTGTTGATGCTTTGACGCTATTAAGTTCATTATTAATGTCACTACATTTGACTAATAAGTCAAATGTAGTGTAAGTAAGTTTTTTGTAGAACTGACGCATGTCAGTTCTACAAAAAACTTAATAGCGAAAATAAAATTAAAAAAAACTTGATAGTGAAAATAAAAGTTATAAAACTGTTCTGTTAAAAACTTGTTTTTTTTTTTGTTGTTGTTGTTGTTTTTTTAATCTAAAATGACTAAACTCGCGCCCTCATCTTGGTCACTATTAAGAAGTAATTGATATCTACTACTACTATGTACCTACTCATGTAACCCAGTGTCCTTATTACCTATAAAAAATGTTTACCTGGGTAATACCCAGATAAAATAGTCCGGGCATTACCCAAGTAAACAGTTGTAATAGCAGTAGTAGCAGTAGTCGTAGTAGTAATTGTATATACATTGCCTGTTCAAATCCTCAGCCGATATATGTTATAAAGCCCCTGCGTATGGTTATTTACAGTAGCCATATACTTGAATAGGTTGATTATATTTGATAGGATAACTATTAACTTGACATATTTTATTTATTTTTATTTTATTCTAAGCCTTGTCGTTATGGAAACTTGTGCAAGAATCGTGATTGCTTGTATACACATGAAAAACCGGCAACCGGATCTTCTTTAAAATGGACTGCAGGGAAATTACACATTAGGTTTGTATTTCATATTATCGATATTGTTTTTTAAAAGAATTTTTAAAAGCAATATTCTTATTTGCTTTTTTTAATTTTGCTGCAGGAAAATTTTTAAAAACGTTTTTTTTTTTTTAATTTTTATTTAATATTTGACATTTTAATAGAATTTTTAACATTTTATTGCTTTAATGCTTTTATTATTATTGCTTGTACAGATGTAATAACGTAGAGATGTGAGTTATCGGAGGTTGTAAACCTTTTTAATAATATTCTAATTTTTTTTAGTGAAAGAAGTTTTGCTGTTGATGAATCTAAAGTTACCGAAACACCGATTGCCATTACTCTAAATTAATTTTTTTAAAAGATCTGATGTTAAGTGTTCTTTTTTAAACACTTATTTGTGTTAGCTACGTGTCTGACGTTTTGTATAGTATGATTTGTTATTTTTGATTCAAATAACTCGGTGTTTAACTGTAACCCTCCGATAAATATGTTTTTATTTCTTGATTCCTTAAATATTTATTACTCGGTTTAATTTTGAGATTTTTTTTTTCTTATGTAAATATTACTTTCCAGAAAAGTCGAACAAAAAATTATAAGATGATTGAAAAAAAAAAATTTTTTTCCAGTTTCCACCTTAATGACCTTAATTTATTTTATTTCGTTTTTATATACTTCATTTCGAACAGCAATTAGAATATGTAACAGACTATCGAACAATTATTTACCAAAAGCAGATTTCCACTTACAGGAAACTTTCCGCGGAACGGAACGGAAACGAAAATCATCCAATAATAAAACAAAAAAATTGAAAATCGCAATTTTTGTTACATGATTGGATAGTTTTCTTTTTCGTTCCATTCCGCAGAAAATTTCCTGCAAGTAGAAATCCGCCTTAAAAAAGAAACTTTAATTCTGGAATAACACTTTTTACTTGAAAACATTGCTTTTATAACGCGGATTTCCATTACAGGAAATTTTCCACTAAACGGAAAAGAAAATATTCTAATAATGTAACAAGAAAAAATTAAGATGCGCAATCTTTATGTTTCATTAACTGGATAGTTTTCTTTTCCTAAAAAATTTCTGTCCACTTATACCAAAATCAAAATTCCGGTCACAAGATATGTTTAAGTATCACACCGAAAATAAAATTAACTTTTAGACCTACAACATCTTGTTTCAAATATTAAAACCGAAATTTTTTTTCATATTTTGACAATAGACATCCGATGCATATTTAACATGATCCGAAGCATCTTAATTACGTGAAATGTTTTTTTAAAGTAATTAAAAAGCAGCCACAGTAATGACAATTCAAAAAACAACTAAATAAAAAAAGTTATTCCTGCGATGATGTTTACAATAAAAAAAAGTGTTATGGTTGCGATGATGGCGAGCAGCCGTGGCGCAGTGGTTAGAGTTCTTGCTCAGAATCCAGAGGTTTGGTGCCATCTCTGGCCCAACAAGCAACATCAGAACGGAAGAAGGCGTGAACTTCCTGTTAAATGCTCTCTAGCGGTGCCTGCGATAAAACTTCTGGAAGTACCTAAATAACTACAAAAAAAATGTGAGAAATCCTGTAAGTTGAGTTGTAACTTGTGCGGTACTTTTAGGCGCATCAAAACTTGGTGCTTGTTACGTATGGTTTTTGTATGCCTGTTTGACAAAGCCGAACTTTGCGTTTCGATTTTTCGCACTGATATCATTTACTGTATTAACTTGTTACAGATTCGCCTGAAACATTACGTCTCATTTTACATTTGATTAGATTTAATGTTGTCGGAGTCGCTCTTAATTTATTTGCTGTTAATCGTCAAAAGTTTCTTGTTATTTGTTGTTATTTGTCAAACTTTCGAATTTTCAAGTTTATTAAGACAATCCTTTTGCCATATTTACATATATAATGTATATAATATGCTGATGCTACTGATGTTAGTGTAAATTCAGAAGGCGATAGCTATTAGTTGCCACCGCTTTCTGAATTTACGCTAACAACATTTAGCATCTGCATTAGTGTGAATTTACACGCCAGTTTACACGAAATATATGCCAGTATACTAGCGTGTACTGATATAGATTCTTTGGTTACTAAGATGACGAAGACTCAAGTTAAGATAATGTTTTAAAAAATATGGCAATTTGTAGATTTGATCGATCTATTTTTTTTATTTTAAGTGAAACAAACCGGTCTTTTGAAATCCAGTAACTATTTATGGGCTTATCGAGTTTCACCAGAGCTAAAAGATTTTGCTTGCAGTTGAATAGAACATTCATTTGATAAACTGCTGAACTTCGTCTTTGCATAAAACTGTCGAAATAATTTGCGCCAAACTTTGACATGGCATTAAAACACTAATATCTATTGGATGAAGAATGTGAAACAAATGAGGGAATACTAATGTTATAATACTGTGGCAATGTAAATAAATTAACAAGATTTTGCTTTCAATGCAAATAGAAACGACTAAAATACGAATACCTATAATATATACGATAGTTAGACTTAATTGATAAATTATTCGTTAAAAAATTTATATTATTAAAAAGTTGATTTATCCTAATTAAGTAGAATTTTATTAATATCAGAAACGTAGCAAAATTTTGTAGCAAAATTATTTTCGTAGTTTTTTTTTATTAAAATAGCTATATTTATATAAAATATACATAAATAAAGTAATAAACATGTAATTATATAATAATAATAAAAAAAAAAATTTAATTAAATTTTGGTGAAAAATACAAAATATTTTTAATGGACAACTTTTATCAGCGTAAACATCAAAAATATTACTTTTAAATACATTTGTCATAAAATAACTTTTTAGATTTATATTTACAGAACTTATATATTATAACAGTAATGAAACATTTTGTAGGTATTCTTTGTGTACGAAACATCTTTTTTACATGTTCAGTATTTCTTATTAACTGACCATTAACTGAAGACTAATGTTTTGTTCAAATTTTTTGCAAAATGTTGCAAAATATTTATGACGCATGGCTATTTACATACATTTAGCATGAGATTTACATAAAACCACTTCGAAAAAGTACTGATACTTCAAAAATAACACATCGTAATGAAAATCATCGGGGAATTCCCCCGTGTACAAAACATGATGTTGTTACAATAACTGAAGAAAATATAATTAGGGCTATTTCGAACCTAAAATTTAAAAAATCTCCTGACTCTTTCGGTATCTCAGCAGAACATTTGAAATACGCAAATTGTGATACTTTAACAAAATGGCTCATCAAATTTTTTAATTATTCCATTAATTATGGATGGACACCATTATCAATGTCGACGTCTATTATTGTACCCCTTGTTAAATCGTATAAAACATCTTTAGATAGCCCGAGCAATTATCGCGGTATTAGCATTATACCAATTTTTACAAAGGTTCTAGAATACCTAATCCTTATTATATGTCCGGATATTAGAGATACTCACCCCCTACAATTTGGATTCAATGCTAACTGTTCAACGCTACATGCTGAATTTCTAATTAGCGAAACAATTAAACATTACAATAGCAACAATTCACCTGTATACCTATGCTCTTTAGATGCAGAAAAAGCTTTTGATAGATGCAACTGGGATATCCTTTTTGATAAATTATATTTCGATAAAAAATTACCACTCTGTATAGTTAACACTATCTCTTCGTTATATAACAATAGTAGTGCAACAGTCTCATATCAAGGTTGTAAATCAAACTCCTTTCTTCTAAAGCAAGGAGTAAGACAAGGATCGATTCTTTCACCTCACCAATATAATATTTACACTGAAAGTCTTCTTGAAACTATTACAAATCAAGGTATTGTTGGCACATCTATAAATGGTAACTTCACTGGTGTGGTGGCATATGCGGATGATATCATACTTTTAAGCTCTCTGGTCTTAAAAAGCTGATAAAAACATGCAATATTTACAGTAATTTAAATTGTATTAAAATAGATGCTGAAAAAACTGAATTCTTGATTTCAGGTAAAGCACAAATACAAACCAATACGATAACGATATCTAGTAATAAAATAAATCTTCAGAATAAAATTAGACATCTGGGATTCACATGGGATACTAAACATTCAACTTTTGCTTGACTCAGTAATACAAATGTTAATGATAAAATTTCAAACTTTAGAGCTGTTGTTCAAACTCTTATTCAATCTGGAATCCGGTTTGCCCACCCAAGTTCTATTTCCTATATATATAAATTATTGGCAGTCCCTACCTTAACTTATGGTATGGAGATATGTGAAAATAATTCTGCTTTGATGAAAAAGCTAGATGTAATTGGAAGGAGTGCACTAAAATCGCGTTTAAATGTTTCAAAACACAGTAAGAACTATACAAATTTGCTATTTAAAATCCAGGAAATTTCAAAAAGTATTCAACAAAATAAATTAAACTTGTTTCTTCGTCTTCTTAATAATAAAATAACTTCAGGCATTATCTTTTCACAACTGAAACACCCCTTATTTAAACATTCGTTTATTGGCGATATCCAGGACCTATGCCATTTTCGGATGATAAATTTTCAAAGCTTAATTCAAAATAAAAAGAAGATAAAAATAGCACTTTCTAAAAGTGAAATTCCTTCCGAAATTGAACAAACTTTGAAACATGCAGTGTTGGAATAAAGTGCTGGAATGCGAAAGAGCAAAGAGGATTTTTTAAACAAATTCTGGAGGAAAAAATTTAAGTGAAAATCACGAGAAATAACTTTTTTATTTTCTTTTTTACCTTGTAAATTACATTGGGTGTTAAATAAATGAAATAATAATAATAAAATAATAATAATCAAATGTTTGGAGGATATTGGAAGTTGGTTTATCTAATACCTAATAGTAAAGGTTAGTTGCAAAAAAATATCGAAAACTGTCTGTTTTCGATGCATAAAAACTAATGAATAGATTCACGTTAAAAGTCTGAGCAAAAAAAAACATAGTTAATTAAAATAATATATTTTAAAATGAAAGTGAATAAAAACAATAGTAGCATTAGAAAGTTAATAAATAAAAAATGAAAAATTTTCACCGTGTAATGTCGACATTGATTTTTTGGTATTTTGGCACACTCTGTCCCACTGTGCGCCAGTGAGCCACTGCACAAGTTTCTCATCTATCCATTTGTATGGAGATGTAATCTACAGTTGAAGTCGGTTATCAACAGTTTTGACTCGGCTCTGATGCTCTACATATGATTACACAGGTTGATGAAAAGGTTTTACCATTCTCTCTATCTCTCTCTCTCTCTCTCGACTAGTTTAAACCAACCAACTCTCTTTGAATTATAGCAAAACTATATTATTTTTAGTTTTGCTATTATTCAAAAAAAATTATAATTAAATTATATTTCGTTTCATCAACAATTTAAATGATAGACTTCTTTCACTGCTTCAGTGACTGAGAATCAAGACCTTTTTTAATTGTTAATAGAACTAATTAACTGAAATAGGACTAATTAACTGAAAGATTTC